TTGTTCTTTAACCTCATAGCACATTCCTTGAGTAGCGGTTGGAATCTTACATTCACGGTAGTGGGGGCGTTAAGTGCTTATTAAACTGCTTAGTGATAGTTCAATCTTATGAACCGAACCTTTTTGCTTTTTGGTTTTCTTATAGTTCGACTCATCAACGTCCCAAAGTGTTATACCTTAGATTCTTTAATCAATCTATTAATGACACATGGTATGTCGATATTCGTGATCTTGAGATATAATTTGAGCTCTAACTCACCAAAATTAAATATGGAAACGATCTTTTTTTATAATTTAGTTAACAAGATATATATTATATCTTTGAATAAAAATTGAAACTAAAAAGACAAAATAAAAAGTTACTGACCATAGTTGCCTATAAAGTGAAGAAGTGTAATAAACAATAATTATAACGCAAAGATTTATCTTTTGAATCTCTTGTAGATATATTGTTTTTTTACCTTTTATACTTTTAAATGTATTACTTTAATCCTAATTTTATACAAACATTAAACATTTTAGGTGTGATGCCAAGTTTCTACAATACATTTTATAAAAAACCCATCTCAAGTGACATCACAATATGGAATTGTATATATATATTCAAGATTCTATAGTACAAAAAATGTAACAAAAAATAACTAAAATTGAAATAAAATGTTTTGGAATATAATGATAAAAATAGGTGTAATAAAATTGGAGGAAAATAGTAAGAACAGTATTATTTTAAATTTAAATTACAGATTTGTCCCTGAAGATGGCTATCCTTGAGGTCTTAAGTTCAATTGGTCATAGTGTTACTCCGCCCAAACAACGAGCCTCAATAAAAAAGAAAACTTTAATTACAAATTTTAGTTCCTAGCAATTTAAAAATTTTATGGAAAAAATCAATTTTTACCTAAATTACTTCGCGGCATATCAATTTTTACCTTAAAGTTTTCAATTTCAATGAATTGCAACTTAAATTTCACAAGTGTTGCTATCTATATTTTAAACTTGAAAAATTGTTGCAATGTTACCTTTAACTCGAAAAAAGTGTTATAATATTTACGACATGTTTTCGTTTGAACGATCAATAGTTAATATATATATATAGACACACACAAAGGTATGTATTCATTAAAATACAAAACATATATATGCTACAAATTTTAAAGTTTTTTTTTTTAAAGGGTGAGTTTCGGAAGGTGTGAATTTTAAAGAAAAATGATATTAAATATGCTTTTTCTCTTATTTTATTTTAGGAATGGTATCCTCTTAAATATAAGTGATATGAGAAATATAAAGTATAATGAAAAATATTTTATACTATTGGAGTACTATAAAATTTTCTCCCAACAATATACTCTTAAAACATTTGAACTTTGGTGTCAAATTTGTGAACTACGAGGATGATTGCCATCAAATTTGAATAATAAAGAACATGGAATAGAATGTTTGTTGTCATGCCAAGTCAGCATGATTTTGATGTACACACCCACCAAATTTTTCTTTGTCAGCAGACAGAAGGGAGAATAGAAGGTTTGGAAAATTGGAATAGAAAGACAAATTAGTTAGTAGGGCCACGTGGCCCTTTTAAATACATAGTTAATATTACGTGGCAGCCAAACAAGAAAAAGAAAACACACAACAAACAAATATATCAATCTTGATTGGTGCATTTAATTAGTGGATGATTTTTAGTTTGAATTTGCCTCCCAAAAAAATATCCCTTCCACAAGCTGCCCTAATTTTAGAAGAAAAATACTTGGGTGTATTTTGAATTTGAATGTTTTCGGACGCTCCTTTATCTCGTAAACTCAGTGAAACAGCTTCGTTCCTGCATGAGACGGCTTTTTGGCATTGCTCGAGTGTTGAGCCATGTTTGACAAATAAGAAGGAGATGTAAAAACTGTTTTTAAAAAATAACGAACTGTCAATTTTTCATTGGTGGTGAGCATAGAGATAGATCATCACTAACCAAAATCTATTTTTTATTATGGTTTTTTTTCAATCAAACAACAGAGGAAAATGACTCAACCAAAAATTTTTTGTTTAGTTATTTACTTTCTATTTTATTCATTTTGGTCTCTATACTTTTAAAACATCTATTTTTGTCGTTCTTGTACTTTCAACTTTTGTTTATTGTAGTCCATGTACTTTCAAAACGTCTATTTAGTCATTGTACTTTTAAAACGTGACCGTCTTAGGACGGTAGCTAATGGAAAATTACTAACATGATTATGTAGATCTATTTCATTAAACTCAAAAGGTTAATGATTAAATTTCAATAACTAAAATGGTAATTTACTCTCCAATTTAAGTATACTTCAACCGGTTAAAAAGTTGATCGTCCAATTTCTCACCTCTCTCTCCATGTTTATGATATCTACGAGAGGTTATTATTGGTACTTTGACTAGTTGCACTATGTTTAAATTTCAATTTAATTTCTTTTTAGTTATATATACATCCATGTTAATTAAGTATAATATTTCTTTTTGTAAGACCAAAATTCAGTTGCATGCTTAAAACTCACTTGAATTTCTCTAGTTAATTAGTTTAATATAATAAAGTCTTAACTCTTCATGGCTAGCTTTCATTAAATTATTTGATTATTTTAAAAGATTTGATTTATAATTAATTTGAGTGATTCAAATCTTTTAAATCTCTAGACGTGGGATTATTTGACTTAGTCATAAAACTTATTGCATATGATTTCTAAAATCAATTTTCAAACAAAAGAATGGTAGATAACTAGAATTTGGAAGTCATTTTGAGAAACTAATTTAGTTTTTGGGATAAAAGTTTAGTGAAAAAATATATATTCTTTTCTTTTTTTTTTTTTACTAAAGGTATAAAATGCGAAATCTGAACAATTATACTATATTCTTCCTATTTACGAGTCATATGATGCAAAGCAAAATTCTAAACTACCCTTAATTTATTGTTTTTATTTTTTATCTTTATTTTTCAAACTATTTTTCAATATTTAAACATTAACCGTTCCTATTGAGTTTTGATTAGATACGGTACTTTTTTTTAGTTCAAACTACAATTTTGATTAATGACTTTTGGTTCATTTTGGTCTCTATACCTTCTAAACTTTCATTTTGATTCTTATACTTGGAATTTTTGTTCATTTTAATTCTTTAACTATCAAAACGCCAGTTTAAATTTATGTATGTTTAAAAAGTGACCAATTTTGTCCCTATTTACAAAATTTAAAAACAAATTTTTTATACAAAGGAAACCATTTTTATACAAATTTATAGTACATTCCAAGAGATTGAGTGAATCAAGTATCATGCTAAACTTTTGATCAAAAGAGATGAAAATGAATAGACCAAAATGGTAAAAATGAACCAAAGCAAAAAAATGCAAGGAACAAAATAGTATTTAAATATTTTAAAATTCTAATTAAAAAAACATATGGTAAAAATAGTTTTGAAAAAGTTATCTCAAGTAATTGGCAAGTCATTCTAATTTTATTCAAATAACTAGAATATTCACCAATTTAATATTATACTTTTTTTTATACATATAAAAAAAACACCTTACTTATCTAGATAAATCAAAACACCCCAAACTCCATAGATTAGTCAAGAAAATAGATCTTTGAATCAAACCATTTCATTGTCTTCATTTGAGGTTATATTTGACTTCTCCATCATTGAAAATTAAGAAAAATAAGAACCAAAAAAATAAAAAATAAAAACTTTTGTGATATATCCATTTGTGGATTATAATATAGGTTAAGTAGAATGTCAAATGGTAGGGAGAATGTAGGGGAAAATAAAATAATAAATAATTTAAGACATAAAATGTTTAAAATAAATAATAATTTTTTATTTATCACATAAAAAGACAGAATTCTCCACATGACCAGGAGTTATATGAGCATATATATGATGACTTCAAAGTTCAAACTTTGGACCAAAAGGAATGACTTCTTAACTAAATTTAATTACTTCTATTTTTTTTTTAAGAATGAATATTTAAAGGTTTGGAAACTCCTTTTGAATTGTGTGGCTTGTCAATATTAGGATCCAACTTTTTTTTTCCCTAACCAAATTAAATTCTTCCATTATGGATCAAGTCATCAAGTTTATGCCTTTGAAATCTCCCCCAGGGCATATATAAATCATATATATAATCGTTAGTATTAATACCGATAATCATGAAGTAAATAAAATCACTCAGCTTCATTTAAAGTAATGTATTAATTTATTCAGAGCTATTAGAGTGGGATTCATTTTTGGTAACATAGGTCGAAGCAATAACAAGAATATTTCTAGTTGAACATCTTTCACAATCCCTGGGGGGATGGCACGTTCATTAGAAAAAAGAAAAGCCTTTGTGGGGAACCATTTATTAAAAAAATAATAATAAGTTTAACACAAAGGCAGAAAAATAAATAATAATAACTTGGTCCCGAGCATCTACTATTATACCCACAATGATTGGCCATATATTCATGATGGAAGGACCGTTTGCCTACTCATGAGCAAAGACTCATGCATAGTTCAATAGATAAGACCTCTAATACCATCTTAAGGTCCATATTGATTGTTGAACTCACAAAAACAGTTGCATGTACTTTCCAGTTCTTGTCTTTGTCTAGTGGGCCATTATGTGGCAGTTTGGGCCTATTTATATGCTTTAACTACAACCTCTTTTTTCTTATAATTGTTTTAACTTCTTGCATCAATCATTCTTGGGCCCAGTCCTCTTAGAATTCTATTTAAAAAAAAAAAAAGAAAAATACTTCTAAATGACCAAAATGAAAGTCATTTTTTAAAAATTTTCTAAAGAGAAACATGTCTATTTTCCAAACCCACAGATTTTGCAGCTTAGCTAATAAATGATAGTAGAAAGTTGGGGGAGAACAAGATTCTAATGTGTCGAGGGCAATCACAAATCTAAAAACTCAGAGTGGAGAAGCAATTTACTCATTTAAAATAGAAGAAAATCGATGGTCACTAGACATATTTTCATTTTTCCTACCACAATAAACAAGAAATAGAAAACATTATCGAAACTCTGACCAATTGGTTGAGTTATTTCATAGGACGTCAAAGTATGTCCAAGCTAACCTTGAGGGTATTCCAAGTTATATTTACAGGACGAAATCAGGACCAAAAACCCTCACCTTTCAGTTGCCAGTAATCCAATTCTCTAAAAGGACCAAGAATGTGAAACCAAACAGTTCAGTTCTACCTTCTCCTATCACCTATGATAAATGACAAAATTTACACCTATAAAACGAGCTCTCTAGTGACTGCCTAAAAGGGTAAAGGAACACGAGAGGGAATAATGGTATGAGATAGAAATAGCCACTGTGGATCAGTCTATCTCGCCTTCTCTCTAATAGGTCTCACTAAATCCTACCAGTTGTCGTTCCTAACACCTGGAAAAGAAGTGTTCTATTCGCATATTAACATTTTTTACTCCGTTCTTGCACCTCTTTGCCCCTGCCAAAGTCGTGTTGATCTGCATAAATTAACATTAAACAGTGTACTCAGGGGAACTGAGAGCTATTAATTGCAACATAAAAGAAGTAATTTGGAGTTGAAATCAAATAACATGCAATTTAAATTCATGTGCTGTTGGATCAAAGGTATGAATAATCCATTGTCCAATAAAAATGACAAGGAGACAGGATATACTTCAGAGAATGACTAGAAGAAAAGAAATGAGATCATAAACTTACCAGTGACGATTCATTTTGAGATCTCAGGACTTTTATTTGTCCACCTCTCCCGTCTGCACCGACGACGATAAGCTCACCGGTACGTGAACCTTGAATGGCATCCGACCCATTGATCTGGCCACGCTTGCACCATTTACCCAAGTACCTACTTGATCCATCAGGACCGAGTAGTCCACCGGAAAAACATATATCCCCTGGATATTGTTTTATACATCAAAATTGTCAGTAACAATTTGATTTTCTGGGAAAACAAAGAAATCAAGTATGTGTCACCTAATTCTAGCTTGAGAATGGATCAGTTATATCGTTACCTGGTTTATTAAGTGGTAAGTGGCTAGAGGATTCTCGCCTAATGTTAAGTACAGGTTCACATTGTGCAGTGTCTTCAATTACTAAAGGCATGCATTTATCCCCAGGAACAGCTGAAGTCATGCTTGTATTATTGACTGTAGCTGTTGAAGGCATAACATTCACTGGGTTAGTTGTTCTTTCTGCTGCTCTTTTTCTGATCAAAATGCAAGTCTTCAACTGGGGATGATAAGACCTTTGGTCTGTTTCTTCCTCGTTTATTTGGCTTCCTAAATTAGGGTTTACATTGGCATTCTCGATTTGAGAGAATTCTGAAGTTTTCTTATCCATTGAGGAGGAAATGTTCTTAGTTGTGTCTACCAAGTTCAAATTGCTTGTACCAACAAATTCAAGAATCTTCCCTTTTCTTGAAGATAATAAATCGTTTATCTGGCTAGCAGTTGAACCTGAAGCATCTGGTGGAGCAGCGGGCTCATTTTTGGCTGATATCATGTTACATTTACAACACACGAAATCCTGAACCCCTTGAATGCTAGCATTTTTTGAGTCCTTCAAGCCTCTCAAAACTTCGTTTTCTTTATCTTCACCGGCTTTCTCTAGTTCTTGGACCCTTGCCTGATAATGATCATATGACATTAAATCAAATCCAATGCACCAAACGATATTTATTTGTTATGGGCTCACCTTCAGTTTAATTATTTTCTCTTTTGCCTTCCCAAGTTTTTTACAAGAGTGAGCCTCTCCCCTTCCAAGAAGATTGCACTTTGTCATCAGTTCTTTATAACTCCTATGAAAAAGTTAAGATTTGGTCAAAAAAACAATTAAATTGAGGAGTTAATGGGAGGAAATACAAACATATTATCATTATTGGTTAGATCATGAAGAATCATCAGTATAAACTTGAACAACACATCTTTTGATGCATAAAATTGCAGAAAATTTCAAGTTAAGATCAAAGAAGACAATCAAATTGTGACAAGTTACGTTCTACTCCTATTTCTGATTCCGTAGATATAGATGACAGTGAGATGATTAACCTATTCCGCATGACCAAGGATTTCCTTAGAATGTCAATTGTATCTTTATTGTCTGCTCCACTTCCCAGTGAAGAAAGCTTTAGAACCTCTTCTTCATCAAGATCCAGTTCAGTTACCCTGCAATGCAGATGAAAAAACTGTTGGGATGCAAACATACAAAAAGGAATAAAACTTTATCTTATTCTTGTACTTTACAACAAAATCATACTTACAACTTGAAAGCTGCAAGCTCTTTAGCCAAAGCCATACTTCTTTCGTGCAACCTTTTGCACTCTACAGTTGATTTATCAAGTTCCTATCCCAGATCAATAGCCAAACATCATGGACGTATAACATGATAAAGCTGTAAAGGAACTAAAAAAAACACAAGAGAAAGATCTAAACTTAAACGTGACTGTTGACCTCAGATTTTAGATGAAGCATTTGAGACATTAGAGCTTTTTGTTTCACGGCTTCATTCCTTAACCCTACTTCCTTCTTCACTTCATCCTGGCAAATATGAAGCTGAAACAAGACACTCTGATTAAGTACCACGTGAATGGATACACTCATCAATAGTTAACATGAGCAAATAATAGCATAGCACATGAAGCTTAATCTAGGAGTTAAAAAGTTGAAATCTGATCTTTAGAATAAAATCATTACCAAACATCTCGGGTTGTTTAGGACATTAGGAAACCAAGAAACTACTAGTTTTATAGTTAGACTATATCGATAAATGAAGAGAAGCCTACCTGCTCGCTACTCGCAATACATAAATAATTCTCATCTTTGAACAATATATGAACTGTATTACAGAAAACCATAAAACACAAAAAACCAACAAAAGGTAAAAAAATTTCTTCAACAGCCAAGTACGGTGTCAATATTATAGGAAATATTAATCATATTAAACAGAAAAGTATACCAAAGTGGAAGAGACATCAAAATGAGGCATCACCTAAGCCTCAAAGCAGCTAAGAATTACCAAAGACTCCCAATCGCTATCTATCTTCTGATATAAGAAGAAAAGTTACAAAAACTCCCACAAACAAGCTCCAATGGCTGTAAAATATATTCAACCAAAACAAGATCCCCATTCTCTGTTGCTGCCTCGAAAAATCCTAGCATTCCTTTCATACCAAATGTTCCAACATAGAGAGGTAAAATCATCCCACCGAAGCACAGATGACTTCACCTCTAAGACCACCACTCATTTTTTTAAAAGAAGAGTCAGATATCCCCGAGCTAAGCAAGCTCCATCGAAACTCAAATATAGAGCCAATAGAAATCCCGCATCTATAAGTGAACAAGATAGCGAGATGATCAATGCCCTTCCCAGCAGACGGCAATTAGCACAAATTTGACAAAGCAAAGAGTTTCAGAGATTCCATTTCCTAATGCTATCATTAGTGTGGAAGAATTAAGGCCAAGGACTAATTCGCACATTTCAAATGCTGATACAGTGGAAAGATGAGCAAGCAAACACACTCAAAACCCCAATAATTCAGTATTATATATCAACTTTTCCTAGTTTTCCCAACAACCAAGCAGAAGTACCTCCTCACTGAGCTGTTTGAGATCCTTCCCCTGACCCTCCAATGCAGAATTAAGCACCGACACCTTCATCTCCAGCCTCTTCACCTCAATCCGCAACGCCTCCGGATCTCTCTCAACCCAATCCCTCGGCTTCTGAGTGAGTACCGAATCATTACTCGCGTCTCCCACAGACTGAAAATAAAGCCGCGCAACATCCTTCGCCCCACAGGTCTGCTTGCACATAGGGCAACTGTACTTCTTCTTCCCGCTCGAACAGTACTCAAACCACTGCTGTAAACTATGAGTTCCAAGTACAAATTCACACCACTCCAATGTTGCATACTAAAAGAAATCAACACAACACAGCGAAACTGCATAACATGTAAAGAAAAAACAAGAAAATTAACGCCGGATTACCAGAGCTCGTGGAAGACATGGCCACAGATGGCGATGGATTGGAGGTCCTCGACGATGGGCTTCAGATCCTCGTAGCAGATTGAACAAATGGTTTTGGCAATGCCGCAGCCATTGTCCATTGATTTTTTCTTCCCTAGGTTGTGGAAACTTGAATTCGGAAACTGGGTTCGATTGTGAAGGGAATGTTATCGGGGGAGAAATGGAGGGAGATTTTGCAGAGAGAGGAGAAGAAGAAGAAAGCGGAGTTCGAAAATGAAAATTGTTGAGAACATTTTCAGAGCGGGAAACGGTGGGAAAATTTTGACGACGATGAAATTTTTGGTTTTTGCGTTTCTTCTGGGATTCAATTACCCTCTCTTTTTTTTCCCTAAGAATTATCAATTATCTGATTTTTTTTTTTTCCAAAAGCGTGTGTGCTTTTTTTTAATTTAATGTATTTGGTATCAAATTAATATCACTCTTAAAAATAAACCACTTTTTAAATAATCATTTTTAACGCTGAAATAAATGATGAGAAATCATTTTAGAATTATTTTATGATAATTTAGGCCTCGTTTATATAACTATTTCATTTTCAATTATTTTATGATAATTTAGATTCGGTTTGATGACCATTTTCGTATGTTTGTTTTATGCTTTCAAAATTTAAGCTTGAAATATTACTTAGTTTCATTTATGTGTTGATTTGTTTTGTTAGATAATTTTTGAAATATTTTTGAAAACTGGCCAATTTTTTAAGTAGTTTTCAAAACCTTATTTTTTATTTTTTATTTGGTTAAGAATTCAAATCTATACTATATTAAAATGGGAAGATCTCGGAAAAACATTTTTGGACAAAGTCCCTTCCTTAATTTATTAATTTACAAATTATACCATCAATAATTTATTATAAATATTATATTAATTATTAATTATTAATTATCAATAATAATAAATGTATATGATCTAATCAATGTTAGAATGCAAACGGTTAGAATACAAAAGGTTTTCTACACCATAAAATTAAAATTTTTTATTTAATTACAATTCATATTAAGATTAGTGTATAGCTAAGTTTGATTTTTTTTTTGTTACTATTTATTGTTTTTTATTGTTCTTTTATAATTAGTGTTTCATGTATTTAGAATGTTCTTTTAGAAAATAATAATAATGTATTGATCCATTACGAGCTCATGTTGATTTTGTTGAAAAAAATTTTGTGCAAGAGCATCAAAAAGTATTTAATTAATTATAAATAGTAAATTAATAAATTAATTATCAACAATAATTTGTATGAAATCTAAAAAGTTTGAATATATAACTTTTTGTCTATTCATTTTCCAATAATATAATTTAAAGATCTTTTTTAATAATTTTAATTATAATATGAAGTTAGATTGAAAATATTATGTAGTACTTTTAAAATAGGTGAAAAACCTACCAATCAAATTGTACAAAAACAAGCATAATTTCTTAAATAGAAAATTAAAAACGAAATAATTATCAAAGGGCTCCTTGATATTTGTAGAATTTTTATGTTGAATTCTGATCTCGAGAATAAAAGTATAGATTAAATATGGTCAAACTATCTAAAGCGGGTTTAGTAAAGGGAGCAAACAATCTGGTTCAACAGTAAAAATATGAGGGAGATTTAATTAACTAGCATGGTGTATAGTGTATAGTGACGTTTGATAATAATAATAATAATAACAATAACTCTAAAATGCTCCAACCAAACAATGATCTCATATGTACGGGTATAAGGACAGTGTACCTACTCCTCAAATATATTGCCATAAAGGCCCCAACTCGATCGTGAGTAATAAAAAAAAAAAACTCTAAAACATTCAAAGTCAAATAGTAGTTGGAAAGAAAAATGTGAAAAGAATTGAGCTAAACCTCTAGCTATATGGGTAGAAGAAAATATGGTTCAAATGATTATGAAAGAATTTAATTTCCATACCTATAGGGTGGGTGTTGGAGTACCTACTAGATCTTTGATTTATCAATAAGATTCTTTCATAATTAATGTTTGGGGGAAAGAATACCCTGGACACGTGGAGGACAGCCATTTGTGCTCCAAGGTGACCCATGAGTCATGCCCCAGCTCGGACCACCGAGATCACCACCACTAGCGTTGACAGATGCTAAGTATGAGGGCCGAGGTGAACCTGGCTGAGGTCCGACCTACCGGGAAGCTCGGTGGGGGCCGATGTGAGCTACTGTCAGCGGCGTGATTATCGGGTGTAACCGTCGGTCCCGAGTTTACCGGGTGTAACCGACGGTCCCGAGATTACCGGATGCAACCGTCGCAAGATTAGCGGGACTACCACCCATAAGTAGAGGACTTCACTCCACGATCAGGTACGATGATTTCTGACCTCGAACTAAACTGGGAATCAGACCTATACTGACTTGATCGTCGGAGTGCTCACCTTTTTGTGCAGGTCCGCCCAAGTATTCA